TTTTTTTTTACATTAGTATAAGGGAGTAAGTGCCTCAGTTTCTTCATCATGGAATGAATGCTTTATGTTAGTTAGAAGATCAAATAAATGTGGCACCCCATGGAAGTTACATGGTTTTATGAATGCAAATTGTTGTAATTATAGAAACTGTCTTGAATTTCCTTATGAAGGCACTTAGTGCTATGAACTTAGTGCTAAGGCACTACTTTCATTGTGTTCCATAGGTTTGAGTATGTTGGGCTTCATTTTTCTTTAATTCTAGGAAGGCTTTAATTTCTTTATTTCTTCCCTGACCCACCTGTAATTGAGTAGAGGGTTGTTCAGTTTCCATGCAAGTGTAGCCTTTTTGCTATGTCTGTTGTTGTTGAGGTCCAGCTTTACTCCATGGTGGTCTGATAGGATACAAGAGATTATTTCAACCTTTTTGTATCTGTTGAGGCTTGTTTTGTGACCAAGTATATCGTCTATTTTGGAAAGGTTCTGTGAGATGCTGAGAAGTAAATTCTTTTGTGTTTGGATGAAAAGTTCTGTCGATGTCTGTCAGGTCCATTTGATTCATGACATCTGTTAGTTTCATTGTTTAGTTTCTGTTTCATTGACCTGTCCTTTGATGAGACTAGGATGTTGAAGTCTCCCACTATTAATGTGTGGGGATCTATGTGTGGTTTATGTTTTATTAATGTTTCTTTTACAAATGCCGGTGCCCTTGTATTTGGGGCATAGATGTTCAGAACTGAGATGTCTTCTTGGTGGAATTTTCCTTTGAGGAGTATGGAGTGAAATTCCCCATCTCTTTCAAATAATTTTAGTTGAAAGTCTATTTTATTAGATATTAGAATGGCTACTCCTGCTTGCTTCTTGTGTCCATTTGCTTGGAAAACCATCTTCTAGTCCTTTGTTCTCAGGTAATGTCTATCTTTGTGATTGAGATGTGTTTCTTGTATGCAACAGATTGTTGGGTCTTGTTTACACATCCATTCTGTTGGTCTATATCTTTTTATTGTAGAGTAGAATCCATTTATGTTGAAATATATTAATAATCAGTGACTGTTAGATCCTTTTTTATGTTGGTTTTCGTAGTGTATTTGTGTGCTTGGCTACTTTTATTTTTTCTGTAGTGAGGTTATTTATTTTCTGTTTTCCTAGATGTAGTTAGCTTTCTTGGATTGTATTTTTCCTCTTAGTATCTTTTGTAAGGCTGGATTTGTGGGTTCTTTTTAAATTTGATTTTGTTGTTGAATATCTTGTTTTCTCCATCAATGATGTTTGAGAGTTTTTCTGGGTGTAGTAGTCTGGGCTGACATCCGTATTCTCATAGGGTCTGCATGATATCCATCCAGGCACTTCTGGCTTTCATAGTCCCTGTTTAGAAGTCAGGTATGATTCTGATTGTTTTGCCATTATATGTTACTTGGCTTTTTTCCCTTGCAGCTTTTAGTATTTTTTTTCTTTGTTCTGTATACTTACTGTTTTGATTATTATGTGGCAGGAGGATTTTATTTTCTGGTCTAATCTATTAGGTGCTCTGTAGGCCTCTTGTACGCTTATAGGCCTCTCCTTTAAGTTGGGGAAATTTTCTTTTATGATTTTGTTGAAAATATTTTCTGGGTCTTGGAGATGGGAGTCTTTTTTTTTTTTTCTCTATTCCTATTATTCTTAGGTTTTGTATTTTCATGTTGTCCTTGATTTCTTGGATGGTTTGTGTCAGGAATTTTTTAGATTTAACATTTTCTTTGACATGTGTACCTTCAACAACTGAGATTCTTTCTTCCATCTCTTATAGTCTGTTGGATATGCTTACATTTATAGTTTCTATTTTCTTCCCTAAGTGCTCCCTCTCCATTATTCCTGTTTGTGTTTTCTTTAATGTTTCCATTTCCATCTTCAGACCTTAAACCATTTTGTTGATTTCCTTCACCTGTTTGTATTTTCCTGGTTTTTATTCAATTCCTTCACCTGTTTGTTTGAACTTTCCTTTGTTTCTTTCATTTCTTTCTGTGATGTCCTCTCTAAAGGCCACAAACTGTTTGGCTATATCTTCTTATATTTCTTTACAGATTTTGTTCGTTTCCTCCATTATCATCTTCATAAGCATAGATTTAAAGTCATCTTCTCAAATTTCACTTATGTTAGTGTATCTATGGCTACTTTCCTTTGGATAACTGAGTTCTAGAGATGCCATGTTGCTTTGGCTTTTGTTGATTGTGCTTTTATGCTGGCCTCTATTCATCTGGCTGTCTCAGGTGTTGGCTGTTAGTTTCTGATGCCTGCTGTAGTCCTGTGGTGGGGGGAATCCCCTTGGCAAGAAAGTGGTTGTTCCTGAAGGCACCCTCCTCAGCTTTTTGGGTGTGGTTCCAAATGGTTGGTGCTTCTCAGGGAATTGCCACAGCACACACAGTCCTATGTGCTCACTGGGCTCGCTGGGAGTCTAGGGGTTCTCCTCTCTCTGAGAGAAGTCCTGGAGATAGCTGCCCTGCCACTGGTTTTCTTGCTGTGAATTTAAATGAGTGGCTGCTGCTGCTCACTGTGTTTGCTGAGTACAGACCACTTGAAGAACCAGGGAGTGCTGAGGTTTGGTCTAGCTAAGGAGACAAGTTGAGCTTTGAAGCACTGTCTGGGGGCTGATCTTGTGACTCCCAGGTGTCACTGGGTCTTAGGTTGGAGCTCTGTGCCCCAGTACCCAAGAGGTAATCAGTGGTGGGTGAGTGCAGCACACAGGCATTTGGCTGGAGGCTGAGCCCCTGAGCCTGTGTGAACTGAGGAACTTTTCCAGAGATTAGCTGGGTGCCCTGAGGTCAGATCTGATATTTACTTCACCTTGGGGTTTTCTCATGACTGGGAGACCCACTCTATGGTGGTTTGGGGTCCACAGTTCAGTCTGGGATGGTGAGTAGAGCAGGCAGAAGCAGGCTAGTGGCTCTGCCCTGTTAACTGAGTGCTACAGGAACCTGGAAACTTTTTGGGTTGGGAGGGGAGTTGGCTGCATGACCTGACATAAGCACTGATTGCTTCCTTCTCTGTGGAGTTTGCTCTCACCTGGGAAACCCAGTTTTTAGTGTTGTGAGGCCCACAGTTCAGTCTGAGAAGGTGATCAGAGCACACAGTCCTGTGGCTCTGTGCTGGCAACCTAGTGCCTGTCAGGATGTTGGAACTCTTCTGGGGTTTAGCTGGGTGATCTGAGAGCAGACCTGATTGCTTCCCATACCATGGAGTTTCCTGTCACCTGGGAACACAGTTGCAGGTGTTTTGAGGCCTATCATTTGGTCTGTTGGTAGCTGTGCAGTCACTGCTGCCCTGCTGATCAGACACAATGTGTTCTTGGCACTACCATCTTGGATCTTCCCCCATGGCTGTTATTTTTCTAGTCGTATTTTTGTATGAATATGAGATCTTGTTACCAAGCTTAACAGTCTTACGTGACAAAATTCACCAAGCTGCGGGAATTCCAATTGCTGGAGACAGGTCTGTTCTTCTTGATGTCCTGGAGCACCTTCCTTTTGGCAGAAGCATGGGGTTTCACAGGTAGGTAACTTTCTTTGCATTGTAAGCCCCTATAAGGAATGGCTTAGAGGGCCACTTTTCTAAGTGGACCAAATACTTTAGTGTATGAACTCACTTGTCAGTGTTGGGAGACAGGTTGGAGGTTTTGTAAAAGAGATTTTCAGTGGAAGCAATTAATTCCAAATTAAATGAGAATGTCGGCACTATGCATGGAATATACTGTGAAATAAGAGGTTTAGTATAAAATTTGGAAGCCCTCCTTTTCTGTGAACTGGAGTTTTCTGTCTTTGCAGGTGTGGTTGCAGTATTGTTTTGTGGCATCACACAAGCACATTATACGTATAATAATTTATCCACAGAGTCTCAGCATAGAACTAAGCAGGTAAGGGAAACTTTATAATTGGTGAATAAAATTTTCCTCCTCTTAACAAAACAAATTTTTTCAATGTCTATGATCATTTCAAGGTGATACATTCTCTTCCTTTGGCTCTAGAAATGGATGGGACTGGCAGGTTGCAGGTAGCATCTCCTAGGCTAACAATCAGTTAGCAGAGCAACCAGACACAGTTACTATTGGACTTCCAATACCCAGTCAGTTGACTCCCTCTTCTCCTAGTTTTTCCCTAACCCACGGGCTTCTAAGAGGAATGATTTGAAGGCCTACTCTGACTTGATTCAGTTTTTGGCTGTGCAGTGTAGAAAAGGTTAATTTTGTTGTTGTTGTTGTTTTTGTTGAGGCAGAGTTTCTTTGTGTAGCCCTGGCTGTCCTAGAACTTGCTTTGGAGACCAAGTTGTCCTGGAACTCACAGAGATCCACTAGCCTCTGCCTCCCAAGTGCTGGGATTAAAGGCATACACCACTACCACCTGACAAAAAAAGGTTAATTTTTTATCTGGATTTGCTGAGCTACACAGATACTAAGTTTCCTGCAGTCTTCCTTCAGGTCCTGCAATACAGCTACTTTCAGGAGCTTCAGGGGACTGTCATTGACTGGTCTCTTCATGAGCAGGCTACCTGAAAATAATTCTGAAGGAATTAGACATTAGGAATATAATTTTCTAGTCTTAGGAGGTACAGAAGGAAAATTAGTCAACAAAATGTTATAGGAATATGTGCATACTTGATGACTGTAGTGAGAACTAGTTACTTCCAGTTTTGCAGAAGGCTAGTAAAGGTGAGTTGAGTCTAGAAAGGACCAATGCTAAAGCAAAACAGCTCTCCCTCTCTCTCTCTCTCTCTCTTTCACTCTGTCCTTTCATCCCTCCCTCCATTTATCCCTCCCTCGCCCCCCTTTGTCCTGGAGCTGCAAAGTAGTGTACATGTTTTCCCCAAGACACTTCAAAGGAAATTAGGTCCCTCCATTTACATGAAGGTTACAAATCCCTTTTGCCAAATATTTTAATACAGTAAATGTACCAAAGAAAAATAGCCAGAAAGTTGGTCATTTTTAGATAGCAAGATAGGGCATAAAAACAGCAAACTAAGACCTTGTAGCCTTGTTTGTGATGTGAAGCTTGCATGCAGAAATACACAAACAGAAAGAGAGAGACACAGAGAGAGAGACTGTGACTGCTTTTGTGCTAAAGTGGCCAAGGTGAGTTGTGACAGAGACTTTGTGCTTGCAAAGTTTCACATGTTTACTCTTTGGTTTTGCTAGCCCCTGTGCTCAGAATTAGAGCTGAGACGTAGATCTAGATCCACTATGGCTCTGCACCCCAAATCTATTATCAGCTTTTCTCTGTGTTTCAGTTTTGTCCTCTTAAAATAAAGATGTAGTACTACTTTGTCCTGAATCATGAGATTAAAATGTGATAGTGTGCATGGAATCTTTACTTAGTACTGTAATCAGGCCCACAGTAAGAAGGAAAGAAACTTTACTTATTGCCATTACAGAAGCACATAGGAATAAGAATATGTTAAGAAATTCATAGAAAGTATATGCTTATCTTAATATTTGTTCTTATTTTTAATAATAAGCCAATTCTACTTTTTTGTTCAGTTTTGGGGATAGAATCCAGGTCTCTTATTTGGTGGGTAAGTGCTGTACCATTGAGCTATAGCCCCAGACCTTCCAAATCTGCATTAAAAACATTTTTAATTCTGCTTTTGAAAGAAGTAAGTAAGCCAGGTGTGTAACATATACCTATAATAAAAAAAAATATTTGGGAATAGGGGAGATGAATCAGTGGGTAAAAGTGCTTGATGTGCAAGTGTGGGGACCTGAGTTCAGATCTTCAAAATGCACGTATAAGTTGGATACATGACATGAGTCTCTGTAATCCCAGTGCTCCTAACAGAAGATGGGCTGTAGAGACAAGAAAATCTACAGAAGCCTGACAGTCAGCTAGCCTGCTATCCACAGCAAATAATCAACAGAGACCCTGTCTCAGACAAGCTAGAAGGCAAGGACTAACACCTGATGTTGCTCTCTGAGCTTCCCATGCATGCTGTGACACATGTGTTTACATTCATGTACACAGCACACATGTACACAGACACACAAATGAATGTCTTAGGAATTGGAAGCAGGACAATGTGGAGTTCAAGGCCACACTAAGCTATATAGTAAGACTCTGTTCCAAGACTTTCCTCCAGACAACAACAAAAGCTCAAAACAGGAACTTACTTGCTGAAAGCAACAGAGCTAGCCAGTAGGGAAGGTGTGCTTTAAGCCTAGGCATTCAGACTCCTGAGCTCAGGTTCCCTATCTCTTCCCTATTGTTATCTCTTTCCTAATGTTATGACTACTGGGAAAGATACAGGAAAGGTAGCGTTTATGGAGGGCCTTCATTTTCTTGGAAAAGTCTTATACACTTGCTGTAGAAACAGTGATGTGAATGGCTAGGCCATGACAGGCATCAGGGGAGGGTGCTCAGTACATACTATCATAGAGAAGCCCTGTTTCTATGAGTCTTAGTCCCTAAAATGAGAGGCTCAACCTTAGTGAAATAGTAAAGGTAACAATACAGCAGTGATATGACAGATGTCGTCCAGCATCCTCTGTCAGGGCAAAGAAGTTGAACTGTGTTTTGTGGCTTAGAGAAGAAAATCTCTTGAAGCTCATTTTAATAGAGATTCACTGGGTAGGGATGATAAATGGGCATGAAGGACTTACCATTTAGGTTTCAAAATCATATATAGAAAGTGATGAAGGCTAGGCTAGGGCACTCAAGAAGAAATATTGGGTTTGGAGGAGGAGAGTAGTTGATGATGGGCACTGTGAGAGGGGTGCTAATGAGGGAAGGTGAGTGCACAACATTTATGGCTCTTTCTGTAGGTTTGCAAATGCCATCTGTACATGTGCTCCCTTGTGAATCATGTGCTTTCTGGTGTATCTATGAACTGCACTTGTTTAACATGTCTGTTACTCATGTTTTCACAGTGTGACACTTGCTTACTGGAACCTTTGAAATTTCGTTTCAGTTGTTTGAACTTCTCAACTTCTTAGCGGAGAATTTCATCTTTTCTTACATGGGGCTGACGCTGTTCACCTTCCAGAATCATGTCTTTAACCCAACATTTGTTGTAGGAGCATTTGTATCCTTTATCATATATCTGTTTTGAAAACTTAATTGAGATCTTCATGTGGTTCTGTGCATGTGGTTGATAAAATATTTAAATGTGTGTATTTTTTTTTTCTGGGAAAACAAAGATATCAACTGTTTTACTCAGTTCCATTTTAATCTATTTTTCTGCCCTATTTCTATTTGAAATTTATTGTCCAAAAATGTTGGCAGACTAGAATGACAGAAAAGTCTCTTCCTATTCTGCCTCAAAGGTAAAAGTATTTGTTCTTAGGTAGGCCTGGTGCCATGTAACTGTCATCCGTGTGAAGGTGAGAAGACCTGAAGTGTGAAGCCATCTTCACTCACCCTGTGTCAAAATCAAATTTGAAAATGGAGCAATGGAGTAGCTAGGGGCAAACTGCTTCCCTAGAGGAAAGCTCTGATTTTCATCTCCAGCGCAGCACAACCAAAGGAACAAAAACTGCCCTGTTACTATGGGGTGGGCAGGGAGAGAGAGAGAGAGAGAGAGAGAGAGAGAGAGAGAGAGAGAGATGGATAGGGAGAGGGAGCAGTTGGATATGGGAACACGTAGAATCTATGCCACAGGGCAATGTGTCAAAGATGAGAAAGGTTGAATAAGGAATGTTGTTTCCCATCTTTTTCTTCATTTCATATAAATGAGCACTTTTACCTTTAAAGGCAACTTGATGGGCCAGCAAGGTAGCTCTGAGAATAAAGATGCCTGTCACCACGGCTGAAAATCTTAGTGTATTCCTTGGAACCCATGTGGTGGAAGTTGAAAACTGTCTCCTGAAAGTTGGCTTCTGACCTCCACACTTGTGTTTTGGCATGAATAAATAAATGTAGTAAACTAAATAAATAAAAAAGTAAAACCAACTTGAACATGAAAGATGGGGACAGTAAGACTCTAAAGTATATATAGATGAATTGGCCTCTGCTTGGGCCAGCTTCCCCAGTTGGTGAAAGAAATATGGAAAGCATGGGGTTTCTAGCTGATGGCTTCTGTTTTCATAAAGTGGGGAATGTTATTGCCTGCTGAGAGTAGACTAGAAAGGTGTACAAGTTATTTGTTGTGTAAGACATTATCTGGAAATGTACCAGTCTTTAACTCAAATGGTGTACGGGGGTTAAGAACCCTGGGATATCTTAGCTGGTGACTTTCAGGAGGCTGCAGTGACATGGTTTGCTAGTGTGGTACTGAAGCAACCATGCCAACCTCATTTACATGACTATCTACAGAAAGGACCGTCTTTCTGTAAGAACTTTCCACAGAAGTTTCAGTATGGATTTCACAGAGTGAGTGAGCTGAAAGAATACAAGAATGGAAGCCAAGGTGCCTTTTATGGACTAATGTTGGAGGTGAAATCTCAGCAGTGTTCTGCTGGACATACAGACCATATAGTATGAGTGGGGATTACACAGCCTGTGAGTACTATATACCAGGCATTGGGCACAATCTTGGAGGCTGGCTTGCACAGTTAGGAGTTTGTGGGAAGGTAAAGAAAAAGTTTATGAAATAGTCATGGGAAATTAGGAGAGAGTTGACCAAAGAATTGCAACATGATTGCACAGCATTAAATGGGGACTTACTTGATTTTGAGGAGTATGGTACTTGCAAGATACTATTCTTCCATCTCTTATGACTTTGTCCAGAAAGATGTAGCAGTAAGCACAGAAAAGAAAGAAGCATTGGGTCCATTGAGGTTTGTTGTTTTGTTGAGAGAGTATGATAGAAATGGAAAAAAAAAAAGCAAAGCAGATGTAGGCTGCAGGAAGAGTGTCTCTACCATATGGAGAAGAAGTGAAGTGAAGAAAGAAGGAGGCTGACCATCAGAAGCAAGCTTAGAATAGTCTTTGGACTGAAGAGCCTAGGGAGCCGGACTGATCACAGTCTGAGACTTGAACTTGAAATGTGGAAGGAAAGATTGCAGTCAGGGAAATGAATACTTAAATAAGTGCCTTTCAAAAGAAGTGTTAACACACTTCAGAATCCAGATTCTGACAAAGAGAGCAGTAAATTCCCCGCCCCCCCCCCAGGTCATTTTTTTTATTAGTCTCATTAGTTACATTTTGTTAATTCTGTATCCCAGCTGTATCCCTCATTCCCTCCCCAATCCCTCCCTCCCTCCCTCCCTCATCTCCTCCCTGCCCCTTTCCAAGTCCACTGATGGGGAGGACCTCCTCCCCTTTCATATGACTCCGTTTTGTCAGGTATTTTCAGGACTGGCTACAAAGTCCTCCTCTGTGGCCTAACAGTACTGCTCCTCCCTTGGGAGGTGGGGAGGTCAAAGAGCCAGTCATTGAGTTCCTGTTAGAAATAGTCCTTGTTCCCCTTACTATGGGAAACCAATTGATTACTGAGCTATCACGGGTCACATCCGAGCAGAGGTTCTAGGTTTTATCCTCTCATGGTCTTTGGTTGAGTGTCCATCTCAGAAAAGACCCTGTGCCCAGATATGTTTGGTCCTTGTGGAGCTCCTATCCTTTCCACATCAAACTCCCCTTCTTTCATATGGTTCCCTCCACTCTGCCGAAGGTTTGGTTATGAGTCTTAGTATCTACTTTGGAATACTGCTAGGTAGAGTCTTTCAGATGCTTTCTGCAGTAGACTCCTGTCATACGTTCAATGCATATCCCATTTGTCTTTCTAAATGAGGATTGATCATCATACCTCGTGTCCGCTTTCTTGATTATCTTCTTTAGGTGTATAGATTTCATTATGTTTATCATATCTTTTAGGTCTATATAAGCGAGAGCAGTAAATTTTTTAAAAACTTAAATGCATACAAGATCCATGTTAGAAAGTGAGATTAATTAAAAGTATACAAGATCTATGTTAGAAAGTGAGATTTTACTGACATGCCATTCTGCAGTCTTATAGCAAAATGAGAAAGTCCTGCAAGTGTGAGTTCTGTAGCTTAAGAGCTTGTCACTATTGGAATTTTTTAGGTAATCACAGTTGTTTAATCTACAGCAGTTAATGTAGAAATAAGCTTAGTCATGAGGTTTCTGAGTCTGTTAGGATTTGAAATTTTCAATAAAGAATCTATTATAATGATTCTTTTAAAAATATTTTTTATTTTCAAATATTTTTATACATTCACTTGTATCCCAGCTGTAGCCCTCTCCCTCTTTTCCTCCCAATCCTCCCCTCCCTCCCTCGTCTCCTCCCTGCCCCCTTCCGAGTCCACTGAGAAGGGGTGTCCTCCTCTCCTTCCATATGATAATGATTCTTAACAGATCAAAATTGTCCAGTCTCTAGTAGCCTGGGTTACATGACAACTAAAATGAACCCAGGTTAAAATGTGCTAAAGGAAACAAAAGTTTATTTATGTAAAAGTCTGAGCTTGTATGACTGGGGAGTTGTTAGGAACACAGGCAGCCCTGGAGCTTGTTGCTCTCCTTAGGGAGTTGCCTGCATTCTTGTGGTCCATGGCATTTAACCCTTGTGCCTCCTAATTACCTTTAAGGGCACTATCCAGAAGTGTATGAACCACTAGTGCATAACAAATCCAGCAACACCTACCTGCAAGGGAAGCTAAGAATCATACTCTCTATGAGAGTGGCTGTATGCTCAAAAATTGGAGCTAAAAGGGAGGAGGTTCTTGTACTTAGAAGAAAAGACTAGGTATGGATTTGTGAAAACATGGCCTCCCATGCCTTATTGCTGCTGTTACCTTTTCTTTTCTTCTTTCTTTCTTTCTTTCTCTTTTTTTCTCTCTCTGTCTTTCTTTTTGAGACAGGCTTTCTCCGTGTAGCCTTACATGTACCTTTTCTTTCTTTTTTAATGTAATTTCTTTCAGAAATGTCATTTTAGTATATTTTATATTTACAAAAAGAATAATGAAGGTAGTTCAGAAAGCTGTCCTATACCCCATAGCCCATTTCCCCCTGTTAACCTCTCACATCAGCATAATACAATTTGTCTCAAGGATCGAGCCTGTGGTGATGCAGTAAGTAAACTTGACGCTCATCCCAAGTCCCATGCCTTTCTTCTAGTGTGCTTGTGCTATATCAAGGTCCCACCAAGGACAGTGCATTATATTTGCTTTGTAGGCATCTTTGGCTTCCATTTGACTGACATTTTCTCAGTTGTTCTTACTTTTTATGAGCCCGAAAATTTTGAGAGGACTGACCAGGCGTTTTGTAGAGTGTTCTCCAATTGGAGTTTGTCTGATGTATTCCCCCAGGATTACAGTGGATTACATGTATTCTTTTGGAGGAATACTAAGGAAATTAAATGCCATTGTCATTATATCATGTCAAGGGTACATATATTTTAACATGTTAAAGTTGATGCTAGTCTTAATAACATGGCTGACAGGTTTCCCCATTGTGAAGTGACTCCTGGTTTTGTTTTGTTTTTCTTCTTTCTTTCTTTCTTTCTTTCTTTCTTTCTTTCTTTCTTTCTTTCTTCTCTCTCTCTCTCTGTCTTTTGCTGCTTCAGCTGCTGTTTATTGACATTCAGGTGGGCACTATAGCAACAGGCCTGGAGATGCTAAAGAATCAAAGGTGGGGAACGGAGTGCACAAGGATGAATGGGAGAAGCCAAAGCTGTTAAGAAAGCAAGTCAGGGCCAGGACCAAAGGTCATGTACACTTGAGCCCTGGGACTTCGGCTATCAAGAGCCTACTGTTGTTTGTCTCCTGACTCCAGGCCAGGACTGGAAGTGCTCTGGGCAGCTCTCTGCAGGAGCAAAGTATACAGAGATGTTGCTGCCCTTTTGTGATAGAGTCAGAGGGTTTCCGGTCCTGCAGTCCTCCATTACCCCTAGCTCAGCCAGGGCCATAAGATAGCTAGCTAGCCTCTATTCCATTTTTCAGAGGCATTAATTTGGTCTGGTGTCCCAGCCCACCAGTGCCATACTACTGCCCAGAGTGAGCACTAAAAGTGTTGCTGGCCTAATGGAGGGGTGGGGAAGGGGATGGAACATGGACTAGAAGAGGGGCTCCAGAGGGCCATAATGGCACAGGCACTACACGCATGGCATTGGTAAAGCCAGAGCCAAGGTACAACCTGGTCAGCACAATGACCACATCTCCTTTCTTGAAGAAGCTTCCGGCCTAGCCAGCATTCATGGTGAAGTTTACATAAAGGTCAACATCCTCGTGCTTTTCTTTCTATGGTGCCCTACTTGCAAAAAGAACCATCCATGCAGTCCACATCTAGCGAGCATGGAGATAGGACTAAATTTTTCTAAAATTGCTTGTAGCTCTTTACATGGGAGACTTATCTCCCTCGCTTGATGTTTGGTTCAGTTGTTTATAGCATTTATATATTATTTATATGAATAATACTTAATTATATTATACATTAAAATATTTACAACATTTTAAAAAGTTTTGTTTTTCAGACTGTCCCAGCTTTAGCCATTAAGAGCTTGTTCCATAGATCCCCACTTCCATTTGACATGCCTTGTCATTGTAGTTTGGGGATGTTTTTACCACTTCCTTACTTTCTGGAGCTGCAAAATGCTTCTGCTAATTTTGTGCATTTTCTGCTTTAGCCTAAGAACTGTCTGTTTCTCTAAAGAGTTCTGGTTCCTTTTATTGGGAAAAATGGTTTAGGAAACCAAGATTTGAGCTTTGGGTGTGCTTAGGACACCAAATATTTTTTTTTTTAGACCCTGTCAATAGAAGTCCTATCCACGTATATAACAAGTCACATGCACACACATACAGCCATAAGTATTTTGGGTTGTAACTGTCTGCCTTTCCCGTCATGGGGTTGTACTGATGTCTCCAACTATAACCTATTACCAATAACAGCCAACCGTCTTCCCTTGTTGGTCTGTACACTTCTGTCCTAACCATAAAAAAACCTGACTGCTGGCACCTTCCATCCAATTATTTAGTTGTTTGGTTGCAGTATATGTAGATGGTCATGTGCTGCTTAAAGGTGGGGTTACGTTTGGAGAAATGTGTCATCAGGTGGTTTTGTTATTGTGTGAGCATCATAGAATATATTTACATAAACCTACATGATGTAAATCAGTTATTGAAAGGAACTTGTTGGTTCAGTTAGAACACTCAATATAGATGAGATATATAGGGCTGTTGCTGATATAACAGCATTTTGTTTCATAGTAAACTTTTTTTAACGCATGCCATGGGATACAAGTGGATATCGGGACAACTTTCAAGACTCCTTCCACTACGTGGATCCCAGGAAATGACCTAAGATTGTCAGACTTAGTAGCAAGCACATTTACCTACTGAGCCATCTTCCGTGCCCAATTTTTTTTTGTGATAAGTAGAAAGAATACATTAAAATAATGTCAGAAAGTATGATAGTAAACATGTAAACCAGTAACAGTCCCTTATTACCAGATTTTATGTACTACATATAATTGTATATGCTGTTCTTGTGTATAAAAGGCAGTATAGTAGGTCTGTTTGTGCTAGCATCAGCATAGACACATGAATAATATTATGATGTCATTAGGCAATAAGATAAGACCCTTTAGCTCCATTATACTTAGATGGGACCACCATGGTATAAGCACTCTTTCTTTGCATGAACTCTTATGTGGTACATGGCTATATGAGAGTGCTAATATTGTTAACTATTATTTCCCTGGAAAATAACTCCATCAAACAGCATATCCTTTTCTCTCCTTTTGGTGGTTTTTCATTTGTTACTGTTCAGATGGGGTCCCAGGTAACCCAGGCTAGCTTTAAACTCGCTCTTCAGCCAATGCCGATGTTGAATTCTTGCCCTCCTGATTCTACCTCTAATGCCCAGCTAATGAGTATATAATTTTCACTTGCAGTTCCTTTTGTCCTTGGCCTTACAATTGCACTGTCTTTTAACAGTAATTACATCAGCACTATTTCAACCATGCTACTTTGTTTTTAATATTACATTTCCCTTTCTAATCCTTTCAGGAAATGTGGTGGGGATGACATTGTGAACCCTGCAGTAAAATTTGCAATTACAAAGCACAGGTTTCTGTAGACAATGAATGGAGAAAAAGACACCAAAATTGTTTCTTAGTGAAGTCCCATCTGAATTGACATGAAATCTGACCTTTTTTGAAGGTTGGAAATGAATGTACATTTAGTGAGAGCCAGCAGGGCTTTGCAGGAAGTTCATCAGCATAAAGTGGCAAAGCTGCCCTTTTTTGTTTATGTTCTTAGGAAGGAAGAGGACATTTAGCTAGACTCTTTTTCCTATCAGCACTGCAGTAGAAGTGAATGACTTTGTGATGCTGTAATGAAGAAAGTTCTCATTTATGCATTCTTTCCTTCACTTAATGAATTTCCTACATGTTGGACATACACTATCAAGTTTGGTAGCAACTAACCAAGCATGAGTATTTTAATTTAAATTCATTTAAATGAAATAAAATCAAAAGGACAGTTCTCAAGTCATCCTGACTATTCCAGCTGCTCTGTAAACACAATAGACAGTGTCCTTGCTCACCTCCTTGAATGTATAGATTAAATGACCAGTAGTAAAAGAAATGATCCTTAACCCCTTAATAATTTCAGATTGCTATTTTCTTGGGAAGAGCTGCCAATATTTACCCCTTGTCTCTCTTACTTAATTTGGGTAGAAGAAGTAAGATTGGATCAAATTTTCAACACATGATGATGTTTGCTGGTAAGTTTCAATTTTCTCTCTTATCTCCCCCCCCCCACACCAATCTACTGTTCATGCTTGCGATGGAAGTGCTGTCAGAAACACTGAGACTGCATCCTCAAATAGAAAACGTTCCTTATCATCTCCCATTCCCTTCTATGGGAACTTTTCTGCTTCCAAAACATGTCACACAAAGTAAAGAAGTTAAAGGTGAATGCATTTTTTACAGAAAAGCCTGCAAGTGAATGTTGATGGCAGTTCTATCCATAATTGCCAAAACCATGAAACTAGTTTACTTGTTTCCCTCTTTCAGTACTGGGGATTGAACCTAGTGCCTCATGCATGGTAAGCAAATACTCTACCAATAAAATATGTATATCAATATCATCTATATCTACATCCCCTCAGCCTCTTCCTTTTAACAAAACATTTTGCTTTTTAACATGGGATCTAAGTTGTTTAGACTGGCTTTGAACTTTTTCTGTAGTCCAAGGAAGCCTGAATTTATCTGTGACTGTCCTGCTTGAGTCTCCCATGTAACTGGGATTACATGATCTGAATCAGGAGACCTGGCATTTGTTCGTCTTTCAGTGGGAAAATGGGGCAGGGAAGGACTTGATAAATCTATGCTGTGGAAAATTACTAAATAATAAAAAGAACATTTATTTACGTTGTGGCATAGATGAGTCTCAAAAGTGTTATGTTGGATGATAAAAGACGGTCTCAAATTCTACATGTATGATTTTATTGATATAATGATTTAAAACACTCACACACAATATTAGTGATGGAGAGCAGGTCAGGGTGGTGAAGAGGTTGAGCTAAGAGATGGCACCAAGTAATTTGCACAGGAAGAGTAAAATGCTCTGTCTTGGTTGTGGCAGTGGCCATACCTTTCTATGCATTGCCAAAACATTTTAAGCTGAATTAACTATACATAAGTTACCACATTTTAAAGAATTATTAAGAGATCAATGTGTGGTAGTAGGCACATGCAATCCCAGCATTTGGGTCACTGGTATTTGGAATTTGAGAAGCGCCTGGGCTATATTAGCAAAATCCTGTCTGAAAATCAAACAGAAGATCAATGAAAGCCAGTACTGTATGTTAAATCTGTCGATTATTCTTTACATGTGTTAATATTTATTTCATATTTGTATATATATTTTCTTAAGTATTGAGGTTATGTTTTATATCTCTTGAGTTTATATAGTCTGCATTGGCAATGAGTACTTTTGTATTCCCTGTAGGCCTCCGTGGTGCAATGGCATTTGCCTTGGCCATTCGAGATACTGCCACTTATGCACGACAAATGATGTTCAGTACCACACTCCTGATTGTGTTTTTTACTGTGTGGGTGTTTGGTGGTGGCACCACTGCCATGCTGTCGTGCTTGCATATAAGGTAAGTAGGAACTGAGGACCTCATCTTCATATTCCATTTTAATTCACTTTACTTTTATTTTTAGTCATGAGAAGATTCTAAACTTTGGGAAATCTAAGTTTTTTTTTTCCCTAAAAAGTATATAATATAGGAAAAAAATGAAACTGCAAGAAAAAGAAATGAAAAGCATTGCTACCATTTTGAAAGATTAGCATTCCAGACCTTTGCTATGCATTTTATGCATTTTAGCAAATGGGCAACACTAAAGTGCTCTTTTATCCTGGTTTTGAAGTGTAATAATAGAAGAAAGTGTACTACAGCATGGACATTTGCACTGGTAAATAACTTCATATTACTTGAACAGCTGTATGTATCCTGGCTTATTCCTATTGTGGTAGTTTATATTGTTTTTAGGCTTTGGCTATTTCCATCTGAGGGCTTTGCTGTCACTGTTACTATTACCAGATGAATGCTCTGATGACACTGTGCCATGCTCCTGTTTAATTATTTCTTTAGGATTCATTTCCAGAAGTGGAATTAATTGATCCATAAGCTATGCATGTATTTAAGGCTTTTGGCTAGGTTACCAGGTTCGATTCTTCGGCAGTGTGTGTGTCCCATTTACTCCAACGCTAATCGATACTAGACAGTAGCTTTCCTTTTCATCTTTGTGATCAGCACCATCTCTAACCTAACAAGCCAACAAAGGCCAAAATCCAGTAGTCAGTGGAATTCAGTGTGTCCTGCTTAATGTGTTCAGTTTAAAATCTCTCTTGTCTCTCTGGAGTTCTGCATTTGTTTCCATGGATACAGCAGCTTGTGTCTGAAGCCTTTGTAGTTTGTAATTCTGTGTTTGACTGAAACTTCATAGGTGTTAAGAGTTATCAAACTTCAGGGACATGTATGCCCCATTCGGAAAAACAGTGTATCACCTCTTAGAGAATCTGTCACCTGTTTCTTTAACTTTCTATTATGCCTTTTATTATTGCAAAGATAAGCTAGCACTGAATTATACAGTGAATGTTGTTAATGTATTAATCTCTCTTTACTATTCAAATCCCTTTCTTCTAATTATTATGCTATTTCTGTGTGTACTAGATAATGTAATGCAGCATATGCTTTTATAAGTCCAATAATGTTTTTTAACCCTACTTATTACTTATAGGAGGACCTGACATTAATTAAGCACCTACTATGTGCCAGACATTCTGTTAAGTGTGTTTAACATGTTTATCTTATAATAGTAACTGTTTTACAAAAAAAAAAGAGCTTTAAAAAAGGTTGTTAAATGTTCACTATCAGACAGATAATTAAATGGTAGCCTCTGCTTAGTGCCTTCAGACAATGGTACTTCAAGAAATTAATGTGGTAAACTTTGAAAGGACTAAACTCCTTTTCTCTAAAGCTTATAACTAAAGACTCTTCCAGGGAGAGTAAAACAAAGCGTGTGATAGCTTAGAACTAATACTCGTCAATAGAGAATCAGTTCTGTTCCCTTCATGGCTCTCTACACAGAACAAACAATATTTCCCTGTTTTACCATCCCCCTCAAACGAGGAAACAAAAATCCCGCCTACTCACACTGTGTTTTATCTACATCACTAGGTTTGAAAGCTCTTTGGCTGGCCCCAGCTTGCTTGCCTTGCAGCACAGTTGGAGGCCTAATTATATCCATTGCCATTCTGTCTTAGACTACTTCTTAGTTTCTTGTTTTATTGCAGTGGTTTGGGCTGTTTGTGAACAATGCTATGTGTTAATTTTCAAAACATGTTTTTAGTTGGAGTAGAAGCATATCACTTTCCTCCCTCCAGTCCTAGGTACCTTCCTCTAGCCCCTCACATGTCCCTCCACCCTCAAGCAAGACTATATATTTTTATAGTCCTTACTGGATATTTTTAATTCAGTGAAGACTAGCATGTCAAACAGCTGTGAAACATAGTCTTAATTTTTACATTATAATTCACATTATTGTTTTAATTTTTAAACTATTGGCTTAAAATGTTATCATATTTACCTAATAGTTATATCAGTAATCTTATATCTTTATTTTAACTGTTAGTAAATTATTAATAATTAACATAAATAGAAAATGTCAGCATATTTGTGGCATTTACTAATGCTGTAATGATTATTAGTTTATATTGACATTTAAAGCCTAGACATTGTCTTATCCTTTCTTTCTACCTATATTTGGGAGTAAAGGCATAGGCTATATTTTAAGTGTCTCTTTCCTTCCCTCTCATTTTTGTGTATAATCACGAAGTTGCTGATGAGTTGGGACCATTGAAGACTTGTGTGCACACAAATTTAACCTTTTCATTCATGCACAGAAATTTAACCTTTTCATTCTTGATCCCTCCTTAATTTTGGGCAAGGCCTTTGACTTTTTAGAGCCTCAGTTTCTACATCTGCAGCATGACACCTATTTCTTGGAGTTGGGAGGATTTGGTGAGCTAGTTTCTGCAAAGCTCTTTGCACAACATTTCAAGCATACCTTTGACATACCTACTCAGTCAGTATCCACTGAGCACTAGCTGTGTCATAGACACTCTTGTTTCAGCCACCAACTCACTGGGTCTTAGCAGATTATTTTGTCTCCTCAGGGGATATTTGAAAATATTTGGAGTAATTTTTTGGTGGCCACAACTAGGAGAAAGGGCTGCCATTGCTATCTAGTTGGCAAAGGTCAGCATCCTGTTAAACTTCCTACAGGGCACAGAATAGACTCTTGTCTTGACCTGCAATTCAAGAATTATCTGGCCAAAAATGTCAGTAGTGCTAAAATTAAGTAACCATATTCAAAAGGACAGTGAGTTAAAAAAAAAAAGAAAGAAAATGTAAAAAGAAAAAGAAAAGAAAGAAAAAGTCTTTTTCCCATCTAGTGGGAAAAACGATAATAAAGAAATAAATGAACATGACAGTGTTAGACGTTATTACTAAATGTGAAAGAAATCAAGGTGCTGTGATAGTGACTGGAAATGGGGTATATTAATATGAAGAAGCCAGGGACGGTCTCTTGGAGAGGTTATATTTGAGCTCAGTCTGCCTGAGTGGTAAGACCCTGCCAGTTCAACGATGACCAGGAAGAGCAGTCCAGACAGAGGGAAAAATCAGCAGCAAAGGCCCCAAGGCAGGAGCAGATGTGGCCTGTTTGACACAGAGAAAAGCTTACATGGTGAGAGTGATCAAATGGTAAGTAGAAAAAAAAAAAGGTGGACAAGACCCTAAGGGGTCAGGATTCTGAAAATTACCTGTGAAGGACCAGGAGCAAAAGTGTTTGACCTCCCCAGTTGTATGATTTTTGTCTCAGCTCCCCATATCTGGTGTGAAAGCAGCAGCCACAAGAGCTATAGAATCACGTAGTATGGCTGCATTCCAACAAGGCCTTATTTACCACTGGATGTGCACGAGGACTGTAGTTTGGCCCTCCTACTGTAGGATCCTATGGTATATATTGAAGACTTCGGATGTGAAAATACAGTGGAAACTTTGAGGATATTAAAGGAAGGGAATGACATGATCTAATTTCCAGTGTAAAAAGATCATGTCCCTCTGTCTTGGAAGCAGTGAATTAATCAGCTTGAATTCTTTCACATAATTTTTAACAGTCACATTTGGCTTTCTGTAATTTAGCTAGCATACATGCTTTGCATTTCTTTGTTTCTGAGCCTTTGCTCGGCCTGGCATTCTCTTTCATTCTCAAGAATTGACACAGTGACCCTCCTCCTCCCCCAGTCTTTTTTCTTGGAGTTGCTGTATAGCACTGGGTCTGTCCATCACAGCAATTATCCCATTCATCCTTGTAATGTGGTCCTGCTAGAAGAGCTACCTACCACTTAGCGCTAGTGATGCATCAAGCACTTTCAATGGTTTCAGTACATTTTTCTCATTTAGTCCTTGCAGGAACACTTTGAGGTGATAATTAGCTTCATTTTCTATGGTCCTTCAGGACACATAACCTGATTGAACTCACCTAGGTAGAAATTATTCAGGAGTAGTCCCAGCCCCATCCTGCCTTAGTAGCAAACTCTTTGGGAGTCTGCTGTAGTTGGGTCTATTTCTCCACTAGTCTGTGAGCTCCTTGAGGACAGCGACCATGTTTAATTCATGTCTATGCCCTGTGCCTAGCGCAGTGCTTGGCAAATAATAAGTGCTCTGTAAATGTTTATTACATTGGTTTTGGATAATGTGCCCTTTGAATGTTCTAAGTGTTCTATCAGCTTGACCACTAGATGTCACTTGAGATTGCACAAATGTGGTTAGACTTCAGTGTGTGTCTGGCCAGTTTTAACCAAGTGAAAATGAGCCTTTGAGTTCGAATCCAGTCATAGCCACCTGTTTTCAAATACTTGACTATGACTTCCTTGCCTTCCAGATGTAGTCTTGTATCTTTTTCCTCCTTTGAGTGTTGTCTTTGCAGATGTTGTTGCTACAGCTCCTTGTACTTCTGTGTTGTCTGTGCTGTCTGTAGTTGGTAACCGAATCAATAAACATTTGAGCACCTATTGTGTGTCAGGTACTATGCTAGACTCTGGGGATACAGAGTTGAATTGAGACATGGCCTTTACCCTCAAGGAGCTCACAGTCTTTTTGGGGAGACGGACAGGTAAATAACTATACTGTACTGTGGTGTGTTTTATAATAAAGAACTTAGAAAGTGCTGTAGGAGCACAAAGGGGAAATGATTCTGTGTGGACATCTCATAGAGCAGCTACTTTGGCACTTGACAAGTTAGTAGAAAAGTGAGGGGACACAAATTACAACCTAAGGGAATGAGTGGCACGAGCAAAAAAAAAAAAGTATCGACTCTTGGAGCTGACAAGTATCTGGGGAAAGAAGTGGGTTAGGGCACATGGAAGAAAAGGCTGACAATGGGGGGGTGGGAAAGCACGTTGGAGTAAGGGGTGTGCACTAGTGTGTAGAGAGTTTTGAGTGTCCTACAAAGGACTTTAGACTTGACCCTCAGGTTTGTGAACTGTTCTCAGAAGCTTCTGTGAAGCAGTGAACTAGACAGTTCCGTGCTTTACAGAGTTAACCCTGGAAGGGAAAACCTGGCAGCTGGAAAGGCTTACTCAACAGAACCCATGAGTCAGAATGGGGGCTGGAACAGCAGGGATGTCCAGAAGAGGAGATCTGTCAGGCAGGATGGGAGAAAGAACAGAGTTGGCAAATTTGGAGACTAGAGAGAAGGCTTAGAGAACTGACAATCCTGGGATGTCCAAAGAAGGAATTTCATGTAGGTACACAGAATTATGAAGAACCAAGGCTAATGTCTAGCAATTACCCTGAAGTCTCCTGTAACTGGACCCCCTTCTATCATCCTAACAATGTTGCCATGAGAGCAGTATGCCAGCTTTGTTTGTGAAACTCTCTAATCGTGCTTATTGAGCAATTGGGGCAGTGTTTCTCTTCCTCACTGCTTAGAGTGGGCTGACATTCAGAGAAGAAGTGCTATTTTAGTGAAACTGGTAAGTGGTTTTTAGGAATAGAACCTCTGCCCTGCTTGCTTTAGACCCAAAGCTGTTTGTTACTAAAGAACATGGCAGATGCCAGAAATATCCACTCCAACTTGTAGAGAAGAGAGAGAACATTAACCATTCTGGAGCTTTTGTGTTGAGAAAAGTATTTGCCTGACAATGTATATATGTGCATAGACTTTCTATTGGGTTCAAAAATCTCATTTGCTCTTTGTGTTTTTTCTTTAGGGTTGGTGTTGATTCAGACCAAGAACACTTGGTAAATATGTGCTTGTGTTGTCCATGGCATTCCTGCCCAATGTTCAGTCATTTGGAAAGAGAACTGTCTCTTTGACTTCATGCCTTTTTTGATACTGTTTTGTTTGCCTCGGCTCTTAACTGACATCATTTCTGGCTTTTCTCACTGCTCCATAGAAACAGAGCCATAGTTTAGGCAATAAGTGGCTATCAAGGGTGACAGCTTTCCTATCTCTGGCCAATCTGGGTTTCTGCCACCAAGGATAATAGGCTCTTAAGTGTTCCTGGGTGTTCAAGTGACCGCCCTGTACAGGGAGCCTTTTTCCACTCTAGTTGCACATGAAGGCTTGTCTCTGATGTCAGCCCCACTCCAGCTGCTCTTCCTGTGTAGCTTTCAAATTGGACGACCAACAGCTGCCCTTGAGAACTGCCTAGAAGCTTCTGAGTCTCCAGCTGGTCTCCCCTGAATGTTTTGGGGGTTATACTCTCTTACTCTAAGCCTCAGCCTTTGAAACACAGCTCCTCACTTCTTCAGTTTCTCAGCTTCTCCTATGATTGCCAGTCTTGTGGACCAAGAAAAATATAGTCTGCCCTTGTGAGACTAACCCCCCACCTCCACCCTTTTTTTGGGTATTTTCCACCCTCTTTTTAATGTTTTCTGATCACCACTTAATAAGTGATTCTCTATTACACATTAGATAAGAAATTTCAAATGAGGTTTTGGAAGATGAAAAATATCTCTTGAAACATAATTCCTATTATTTTCTGAAATAATTTATGGTGTATTTTTCTGCAGGGTGTGTGTGTGCTTTAAATGAAAATGTTTACTTGATTAATTTCCCAAATGCTAATTTTGAGTGATGACTATGTGTGTATGTATGTGATATAGTAAGTAGTTGCCTGTTTTATGGTCAGAATCTTAAAGTACAATTCCCCGGATAAACCAGAATTGTATTCATTCCCATCCTGCCAAGCTTCTGGGATAGTTACAAAAGCTCGTAGTATCTCAGTGCTTCTGCGATAAAACATTACGTTAATGCAACCCTGTTAGCCCTGTCATAAAAAGGAAAAGTATAGAAAGAGCCAGATAGGAGACTACCAATTGTGGCAAGCAGAAAGCATATTTTCCCATCACTTTCAGAACCCTTTGTAGAAACATTAGCAAGATGGCTCAATGGGTAAAGGCACTTGCTGGAAAAGCCTGACAACCTAAGTCTAATCCCTAGAACCCGTGTAAGGTGGAATGAAGGAAGTGACACCACAAAGTTGTTCTCAAACCTCCATATACACCACACACACACACACACACACACACACACACACACGTAAAAATAAATACAATTAAAAAATTAAAACCCGTATGGACATCTCACTTGCATTGTTTACTCAGTAATGCTTATGTCCATTATGAAGATTGTAGTCCATATGGGGCTTGGGGTTGTGTGCATAGTAGTTAAATGGTTAAGATCTATAGATGATTTGTTTTATAAGAAGTGAAGGCAGGGCCAAACAAGGTGGCTTAGTGAGTAAAAGTGCTTGCTGAGCAAGTCTGATGACTTAGATTCAATCCCTGTAACCCATGCTGAAAGAAGATAACCCCTAACACATGCCATGGTAGCAGCAGCCGCAGCAGTAGTAATAAAATTTAAAAGAAGTGAAAGCAAAAATGTAAAAACAAGGCATTTCCAAAGGCTAAGAGTATAGCTCATTGGTAGAATGTGTAATTAGTTTACCTGAGGTCCTGCTTCTATCCTTAGCACCAAAAATTAAACAAGAAAATAAGAAGTGAAGGCATGAGAAACTTAATGATGCATAGGCAAGTTCAGAAGTTCTTTTGTGCTTGTGAGTACATGCATTGTTCTCAGATATTCTCATACTTTTTAATGTATGTGTTGACACATGTTGAGGGGAATGTGAGCTATTCTGGGATTAGGGAGGGCAGGAAGTAGACAAAACCCAGATTCTAGACTCTGTGCCCTTAGTAAATCACAAAACCATGGAACATTAGTTCTGGAAAAGGCCTTGGGGAACCTGTAATGCTTGTACTTTATACATGAAGACATTCAGTCCCAGAGAAGGAAGGAGTTTTGCCCAAACTAGTTAATGTCAGGGAGCCAGGACTTGGGCTAGATAGCCTAACTGCCTGACTACTGAGCATAACATATTACAAATAAAGACGGCTGGTATTTTTGTAAGCTATCTAGAAGCTGCCTGCTTGCTGTGTTAGTTTTCCCTCCTGGCCAGTGAGATCTACCGTAAAATGTCCTTGTTTTCATTTGCTACTGTGTTCTGAACATAGTAGCAACTTTGAAAATGCCAGTTATTTTTGAAGTCCATGACACAGCTCTCTAAAGATAGAGTGAGGTGTTTCTTTTTGTACATGCCACTGCGTGGATAGTGCAAGTCTTTCAGACTGGAGAAGGTGAATAAGTCCATGCTGGCTTTTCTTTAATATGTATATGTATGTGTGTTCGTGTGTGTATGTGTATACACAGGCATGCATGTGCCACAGTACATATGATCAGAGCAACCTTGAGTATAGTAAAATAGGATCTCTTTGATGTTGATTGCTATGTACACCAGGTTAGCTGGTCCATGAGCTTCCAGTGATTCTTCCCATCTCACTTTATTAGCATTGGAGTTACAGAGAGTTGTTGCCATGCCTGGGTTCACGTGGGTTCTGAAGATTTGAACTTGGGTCTTCATGCTTGCATGCCAAGTACTTTTCTCACAGAGACATGTTCTTAGGTCCCACCCTGATTTTTTATGATCTTTTTAAAAAATATAATATAATTATATATTGTTTCCCACTTCAACTTTCCTCTAACCTTTAACCTCTCCCATATACCCTCCCTCCTTGTTCTCCCTCTCAAATTCATGACCTCCTTTTCTTTAATTGATCCCATGCTGACTTTTAAGTGGTAACAGAGTAATAAATTGTTATGTTGCCTGGGTCATAGAGATGCTTAGAAAAGCATTTCCATTTCCCACACCAAAGCTGCAGTATACAAGCCACTGAATCTCTAATGTTACCTGTGCTGGGCACTACCTTTCAGGGAGGTTCTATTTCTGATGCTAAAAAAAAAAATGGCTCTAAATAAACCCGTCTTCATCTTGGGTATTGATTTATGCATCATCTGTCTGCAGGGTATTCCTGAAAATGAAAGGAGAACTACCAAAGCAGAAAGTGCCTGGCTGTTTCGGATGTGGTACAACTTCGACCATAAGTATCCTTAATGATAAAGCATGATAGTACAGGCATGGGTAGGTGCAGTTTAATGAAACAAGTTGGTGCCCATATGTGTGCACATGTGAGAACCAGCATATCTGTGTGTGTTGGAGTTGGGTACTGTAGAGGAGCCTAGCAACTTGTGCATGCCAAGCATTTACTTTACCAATGAACTGCAGCTGTAGCCCCAGAGCAGAACGTAACTCTCTCCATCAGTGCAGTGGAAAAGGGCTTTCCCACCAGTGAATTCCTCTGCAAACCTTGGGAACCAGTAGGCACTGGTTATTGAGGGAATCCAGAGCCTAAATGGCATGGGTAGTCTCTTTTTTTTTTTTAAGATATAGATTTATTTATTGAGGAAACTTTACTATTTGATGTCCTTGGGCTAATTTGGAGAATCCTGTGCAAGGAATTTTTTGCTTGTTGGTGTACTTGCTTGGGTGGAAGCCTTAGGAGGGAACACTAGATTGAAGTGAAATGCAGTGTGCTTGTTACTGCACTGTCCAAGAAGCTGGGGTGAGGGGAGAGTGTATCTTTCCAAGCACTCTCTGTTCATAATGCTTTTGCGATCAGAAGCCTTGAATGTTTAAGAAGAACACATTTGCCCTCATGATTAGAAGCCATTTACTATATTCTGTTTGCTGGATTTTCTTCTCCATTCTTTGGCAAGTACTTTAAAATGAAATTACTGTGTGCATACAAAAATTCAAGCATATCTGTAGCATTAAGGTTCCCATTAGGGAGTGAGGGCCTCAGTTTTTTTAAATTGTTTAAAGATTATGTCATTTTTGGCTCCATTACCAGCATCTTGGATGTGAGCCATTACATATCTTTTGGAGCTTTTTCATTCCTCCTATTTAACATTTTTCTATAATAAAATGTATATTTTCTACATAATTCACAAAATAATTTAAATTATTCCAGTTTAGAAAAAGAACTTCCTTTCCTATATAATCTTGTAGGAGTAAACATCAAACTAAACTCTATTAATTTTAACACCCACAGCCATGGTAGAATTAATTATTCATCAGTCTAGATTTTAGTTTATTTAGCCAGATTGTTACAATAAGAATTGTAATTTAAATACAGTGAAGTATGTGAATCTTAAAAAATACAGTTTAATAATTTTGATCAGCATCTATCCCTGTGTACCTACTGTCCATATAAATATATATGTAACTATTTATAGCACAACAGAAGGTGCCCTGTGTTCTCTTCAATCAGTAACACCTTCCCTAACATACCCAGAAGAGGAACTCTAATTCTGAGTGCCATCAACATGAATTAGCTATATCTGCTTTTGATTTTTATTTAAATATATCATACTTATTCTTTTTGTGCCTTTATTCCTTCACTGAGCATCTGTATAATTTAACCATAAGAAGATTGTGTATAACCATAATTCAGTGAACTGGGGCTCAGATCTAGGGTATTGTGCATATTGGATAAGCCTTAGTCCTTGTTTGGTTGTTATTGACAAAGCCTGCCTAGTTAGTCCAGGCTAGCCTTAAACTTATGATCCTCCTAGGTCTACCTCCTGAGTGCTAGGCATACAGGCATGTTTACCCATGCTCAGCCTTTTCTTAATTTTAATTTTTCTAATAAGCATAGGGCGTGTGTGTGTGTGTGTGTGTGTGTGTGTGTGTGTGTGTGTGTGTTTGTGTTTGTATGTTTGTATTGGTTTTTGCAGCAGGGTTTCTCTGTGTAGTCCTGGCTGTCCTGAAACTTACTCTATAGGCTAGCCTCAAACTCAGAGATCTGCCTGTCTCTGTCTCTGCCTCTCAAGTGCTAGTATTAAAAATGTGGGTCACTACTGCCTGGCTAAGCACAGAACTCTTTAGAGTTTTCTTTTGCTACTTGGTTTGGTAATTTGATATAAGAACTTTCTGTTCAGTACTACTAGACAGGGCCTTAGTTATTGTTATATTCAGTATTGTGAGAATTTGTTGTATCTGTCTTCAATCTTTATACAGAATTTATTAATATAGGCATGTATTAATGTTGTCTTTTAAAGATTTATTTATGTATTTTGTGTATGTATGTCGGGAGAAGGAAGGTGCTGTGGAGATTGAAAGACAAACTGCAGAAGTTGGGTCTCTCCTACCACGTGGCTCCTGGGGGTGGCACTCAGTTTCTCAGAATTTGTTGGCAAGTGCCTTCACCCTTGAACCATCTTGCCAGCGTCAATCTTTTGTCTTTAAATTTGTTTTTAAGGTGAGCTTGCTATGTAGCACAGTCTGACCTTGAACTTATGCTCCTCCTGCTTTAAGCCTTCTGAGTGTTTGGGAGCATAGGTGTTGCACCACTATGTATAGCTAGTAACTTTTCATGAGGTCTGGAGATTGAACTCATGGCCTTGAGCATGATAAGCACGTGCTCCATCAACGAGTTACATGCCCCAGGCTTTCATTTTATAATATAAGGAATGTGATATGTAGCTATTGTTTCTCCATTCTTTTCTGTGTTTTCCTCTTTTTTTTTTCTTCTAGTTACCTTGAGTTACCAAACCTGCTGAAAAAAGGATCGATGATATAGGAATTCATGATACATAGTTTTTGTTTGTTTGAAGTCTTGGAATTTCATTTTTCTTTCCTCCTTCACTTCCTTCGTGGTTTGTAGGAAGTGAAGCAACATGATACAGAAATTCAAGTCAGAGCATCCATAGAATCTATAATAAATGATCAAAGCCGTTTCTGTTAGTATACGCTACTGCAGTATTTATTCCTCCCTCTGAACACCATTATTTTTTACTTTTTCCCTTATCTTCTTTAGTACCAAACTCAGGATGAGCATATGTTTCCTCAGTCTCTAAAACCAGCAAAGCAATAGGATGTCATGTAATAGTCTCATGAGTTAAAGTCAGATCAGTGTCAGCTAGCAGATGTGTCCCCATTTCCTTAATCGTGTGACTTGAGGTGGATCATTGACCACTCTCTGTATCGGTGTCCCTCTCTATTAAATCAAGATTTTAAAAAAAGTCTCCCTTTGCTGCCTTGATGCTGTAAGATGGCAATGAGATGAGCTTGCACATGTGGTCAGTGTGTGGTGGCAGTAATATCGTGAAGTGTATTGTTTGGGGCTGAGCTGTAGTTTAGGAGTAAGTAGCTAGCACAGGCAAGGCCCTGGGTTTGCTCCCCAGTACCGGTGTAACAACAACAAAGCTTCACTGTTCCCTTAAATATGTGAAAAAAAAATGGGCACAGCCCTTCCTTAACCATGTGTGCACAGCTACCTGAAGCCTCTGCTGACCCACAGTGGGCCTCCTCTCACTACCACACTCCCAGCCTGCTGCGGGCCTGTTGCCAGGTGCCTCACCAGCCCCCAAGCATATGAGGTAAGTGGCGTTTGTTTGTTTATTTACCTACTTATTTACTTGCTGCTGTTGTCTTGAGGCGGGTTCTTGCAGGATAGCCCAGGCTGGCCTCAAACTGAGGTTACAGGCATGTACAAACTTGCTCCAAAGAAAGTGGCTTTTATGTACTTACTGACTTCTTTAGCAAGTGTGGTTTAGCCGTTCTATGGGTTTTATTTTATTTTGATTTGAATTTCTTGGTCTTTGAGGTATAAAACCCATGAGAGAGAATTTAGCATATTTTTTAAAGTAGAAAATAACACCTTTTGAAAACAAACCAGTTCCTTATCTTACAACAGGTGATTTTAGTAAGCTGTCCTGTTTCCATGCCAGCTTTAATTTCTTTGCAGTATATGGCCTGACGTCAGCAGTATGTGTGTATGTTTCCATGTCTTCATTAGGCTTATCACAGTTCAGTTGAGAGGGTTCTCAAAACAATTTTTCTTAGATTCAGTTACATTTATTTAAACTGAAAAATGTGATATTGTGGAGCTTTTCCTCCAATGGAAAGAAATCATAGTAGAAATGGGTGTGCTACATCATACTATGCTTTGTTGGACTATTTTGATGCCTGTTAATTACAACAGATGTTCTGTGATTTAACATCTGTAACTTTGGGATTTTAGGGAAGTGCATCCATACCTGGTCCAGGTGGGTGGAGGATATAGACACAGCTAGACAGAATTTAGATTCTATATATTTTACCTATTTACTAACACGATTTGATGGTTTGGTAAACATTACAACCAAGAAGAAAATGAAATATGTAAAACTAGTGTGGATTCTAAAATGTAAACACAGCTGGAGAGATGGCTTAGGGGTTAAGAACATTGGCTGCCCTTCCAGAGGACCTGAGTTTAATTCCCAGCAACCACATGGTGGCTCACAACCATCTATAGTGAGATCTGGTACCCTATCCTGGCATGCAGGCATACATGCAGGCAGAAAACTGTACAAAGAGTAAATAAATAATAAAATAACATATGGTGTCTTTTCTCCCCCATGTTTAAATAATTGGTGACTTCCTTAGTGTAACATTTAGAATGCCAGGTTAGTGGGAAGTTGTAGGGAAGCAGTATAGGCATGGAACTTTTGGTTGATTAGGTCCTCCTTTGCAGTTTGTTAGGGCAGATTCCATAGGCAGTGTAAGGGTAGCACCTGGGCAAGGGTAGTAGTGAGTAGCTTTGTTTTGGGTCACTGTGCATTTGACAGATTTTGTTTATAGTTTGGGGAGAATACTCCATGCTGCCTTGTCTCCCTCCCACGTGTCCCAGGCTCTGCACTCAAGCATTGTTCTTTTCCATTGTACCACATGACTGCATAGGGGTGCTGTTGGCTCAGGCAGAGGTTCCATAGCTCTGTGTATGTTTGTGCATGTATGTAAGCTCACACATGTATGTGTGTGTGTTTGGTGTCCCAGATATGGTGGCACATATCTGTGATCCAGTCACTTAGGAGGTAGAAGCAGTTAGGACCAGGATTCCAAGCTCATCCTCAGATACATAGCAAGTTAGAGGTAAGCCTGGACTAAATTGTGACCCCCCATCTCAAACAACAAAAGCAAGCAAAAAATCTGCCAGCAACAACCATTAAAAACCCACAAATGAAAATAAAACAACTATGTATCCTGTGATATGTAGCAATACATCATTGTATGAGTTTCCTGGGGCTCCTATGACAGACTAAATAGCTTAACAACTAAATGGCTTTACAGTTTTGAGGTTAAGATAGAGACAGGATTGGTTCCCTCCAGATCTCTCTCATTGCTTTTGATGCTTTGCTGTCAATCTTTGGCATTGTGTGATATTTAGATGCTTTGGCCTAGTCTCTGCCTTCATCACCACTTTGCATCTTTTCTCTATGCATGTGTGCTTGTGCTGTTTATATCATTACAAGCAGTCACTTACAGTGACTGTCTGTTTTACTAATATACTTTTACATACAAATTTGTTGAAGGATATAAATTATAAGTATACAGAATTACCTCCCACTCAGGGGGGGGTGCAGCCTTACCAGGCCACAAAGGAAGACAATACAGCCTCTCCTGACGAGACCTGATAGACTAGGGTCAGAAGGAAGGGGAGGAAGTCCTCCTTTCTCAGTGGACTGGGAGAGGGGCATGGGTGGAGAAGAGGGAGGGAGGGTGGGATCGGGAGGGGAGGGGGGAGGGAGCTGTAACTGTTAAAAGTTAATTTATGAACCCACATAAACTTTAATTAATAAAAATTAAAAAGGATATAAATTATAAGTATGTAGAATTGATTTTAAAGGGATATTATTAGATTAAAAGGTATACACCTTTTACATTTTTTTTCTCAAATATAAAGAAAACATTTATTAGAAAGTGCTAAAGAGTCCCCACTGACCTGCAAAGGAGCCACAGAGCTTTGTTTCAACCAAATGGCAGACAGTAGTCAGGTTTGTTGTTACTAGTTATATATTAGCAGGAATTGATTTCAGCTGATTGGTGGCTATGGACTTACCTTTTCAACTGAATTTTTATTTTAATCTTTGCGTATTTAAAAAAATTCTAGCAATAGTAAATTTCTGACAGGAGAAACATATACACACAGACATAGATACACAGGCATGCACGTGCACACATACACACACACACACACATAAAATTTACCAGCAAACTCCATTATGGAGTTTGACATTCCAAACATTCTATACCCACATATATGTTTTTTTCTTTGCCAAATAATATATATATATAATTAACTCCCCTCCCCACATTTTATAGAACCGTATTAAGTATACTTTTTTTGGAACCTTTTTCCATTAGAATAAATGCTTATGGACCTGGAAAACAATTGTGTGGTGAGAGTTTCCATGTGCCCCCATGTCCCATAACGTGTTATGTGTTTGGGATAGGAAGCACTTAGTTTTGTATCTTAACCCTACTTTCTGTTCCCCTGCTCCCTGGCCCCAGAGAAATGACTTTTAAGACCTATGAAGGCAAACTGGTAATGTGCAGGATTGAGTGCTACTTGCAGGCAAAGGGCCCGGGACCAAATGCGGTTGGAGCACACACAGTGAACACCTAATGTAGGGATGAAACATAAAAAGAAGACTGCCAGGAGAAAGTCATGAGCAGAAATGAGTGACTTGAGAGGAGTAGAAGGGAGAGCATGCTTAATGGCTGGGAGGTACGAGAAAGACTGCAGAGTGGGATAGCTGTCAGTGTTTCAGTCCACCCTGAACAGTGAGGGGCTGCTGGAGCGGGAGAGGCAGCTGGGGATGGGAGACAAAACTGAAAGGAAGACATCACATTATGTTTTAAGTCAAGGTTAGGACTTTACATTTTATCCCAAATATGATGAGCTACCAGTGAGGCATTTTAACCTGGGGTTGTCAGATTATCTCCTCTTGGAAATGGTTCTCTGAAGACCTAGGCTTACCTTACCATCTTACCTGGCTTGGATTATTGCATTGCTTAACTACTCTTAAACCTTATATTGTTTGTGTTTAGAACCAGGAGCAATTGAAAGATGATGACTCCGATCTTATTCTCAATGATGGTGATATCAGTTTGACGTATGGGGATTCTACTGTGAACACTGACTCCGCAACAGCCAGTGCCCCAAGGAGATTTATGGGCAACAGTTCTGAAGATGCCTTGGATCGGGAGCTTACATTTGGCGACCACGAACTAGTCATTCGTGGAACTCGCCTGGTTCTTCCAATGGATGACTCAGAACCTGCATTAAATTCATTAGATGACACAAGACACAGTCCAGCCTAAGCTTTCTAATACTGATTTAGTGGTTTTGTAAACTTTGCACATGTGATTGTGAAGAAATGTGTACTACCTACAAGTCCTAGTGCATGTCTCTGAATGTGTAAGCTATATAAATGCTATTTATATGGCCTAGGAAGAATACAAATACCCTGTACAAGGCAGATTGTGAACAAACTGTTAAGTTTTGCTGGCTGCACTACATTGGCCGGATCTGTTTTAGAAAGTTTCTTTCACAGTGATGTTGTGTGTTCTGTTAGTTTTATGTTTCAGTTAAAGTATAAAAAGTGATGGATTGACTATTTCTTATATTTATCTTACACTTAACTGGAGTACCAACTTCTTGTGGTGTGAATTAATTTGTGTGTAGCAGGGAAGGGGGAGGGAAGGAGAGCTGTTATTCCCTCGGGAACCCAGGGAGGAGAGGTTGCTTTGTTGGAAAACTTTTGTTGGTTGCTGCTGCCTTTGTCGTGACTTCTTTCTTTCCCTTTTCTCTGGTGGCCCTTTGTGGTGCAAGGAGCTGATGGCATTTTGATCTCACCCCATTCAGAATGGGGACTGAAGTGTGGGGGCCTTTCTTACCCCATTGATGTGAAAGAACAGATTTCTTGACTACAGTACATTGATGCTCTGAGAGAGAAGGCTACAAATGACCTTCAAGACCTTACTTCTTTTCTTTCACACCAAGACCATCAGAATTGCATCCAGCTGGCTTAGCCAAAGTACAGGTGTATATACTTCAGGGCACTTGTTACATTTGGGGGCGCTGGAGCATGTGCACATGGGGCATAAGATGGTGGTGTTGGAGGTCTCTCTTCCCAAATATGTAAATATTCTATACCAGATAAGTTGAAATAGGAAATGTAATTACTGCTTCATTTTTGATTATGTTGTTTGTGTGTATAGCAAGCCTTGTCATCAGAAGTTTTATATATATATATATATATATACATATATATATATCAATTTAAATCGCTGCTCTTTAGCAGCCAAACAGGAGCAAAATGTAAAATTTTTAAACTCAAGATGTTTAATGGTTAATTGCTAGTCAATAGTTGCTGTTAAAAGTTAATTTATGAACCCACAAATTGTTCTGTACTACACCAAAGGCAGCCGTAAGAGAAATACAGTGCTCTGCAGCATCTTTGAAAGGATTCTTCTTGTGTAAAGTGGGTGTAGTTGTCTTCATTGCAGTGTTACTTTTTAATAATAGACACTCAAGCTGCCATGTGTTATTTTTGATGGTTTTTGAGGAAGAGCACAGGACAAATTTTCATTTCATATTCATAGCATAAAAGTGGTTTCTATTTTGTAATGTTACATATACCTAAAGGTACATTGAACACTTGATGCTGATTCTGACCTGTTCATGATTTAGGAGAAAAATACAAATTTTATGGATTTTTCCCCCCCTCAGGTCTGAGTAGAATTGCCTTAAATCTCACCCAATTAGAAAATTGATTATATATGTGATGTTCAAATTTTCCACGGAAACACACTCTTCCAAACAAAACATGTGCTTACTCTCAAAAGGGTTCTGCGCCATTGTAAACACTCCTCGAGATTTTAAGGGGATTTCACGTTGTACCCTTCGTGGCAGCCTTGACTGTTGGCATAGCCATTTGTTATGTAGTGGTAGTGACTCCCTGCTATGCAGGGACTCCTCCTGTGAAGTGTATGTTTTATATGATATGTGGCTCTTCATGCAGTAAATACTTTCTTGTTAACGTATGTGTGAGGGATTTTGAATGTCAACATCATGGACCCACAAAGTTAATTCAAGTTGTCATTTAACTATTGTATTTTTTTATTCCGTCAGGTTACTGAGCTCACCTTATGAAAATGGCTATAAATACTTAGCATGGCAAATTATGTAATTTGTCTCTTTTCAGCATGCGTAAGATTTCTCCTTAAGGAAACTGGTAACGCTTGAGTCCACTAAATCTGCCTTCAGTACTTTATCAATGGGAACCAACCTTGTTGTGCTTACGTATTCATTATGTATTCAAAGATTTTCTTCCTCACTCGTCTGTGTATACATCCCCATGCAAAGAGAAAACCATCTCTGTTGAGGCAGCCATTGTAATTAAACACCTGAATGAACTTTGATGAAGTACAGTCTGAGTTACCATCATGCATGAGTGAACTGCTCTTGGACCTGTTTTTCTGTTGTTCATGGAACCTACATGTTTGATTGACTTGAACATTGCATCCCTCAGAGTTATTTTTCAAGATTTTTTGGCATTTATCCTAGTCTGTTTTTAGCAGTGTGCTGTTAAAGTACTAGACTTCTAATTTTTATGTGCTTTTTGTTTTCCTTTGGGGTGCTTGGAAAGATGTTATAGTGGTTTCTTTTAGGAAAATCTGTCATTAAAAAAATTATAGCCTTGCAAATAACCATTCACTGTTATTTGAGTCACAGCATATTCTAGAGAGACATAAAGAATGCTGACTTCATTTATTTTTCTACCTATATGCATACTGAAAAAGGGGGAGGACTGGTGTTTTAAAAAGAAACTTGACAGAAGTTAACTTATGAGGTGGCAGAGTTGAGGTGCTTAGGTATAAGGGTGAATGTATTTCCTTATGGTCACAATTGTACCATTTAAGAAACACTGGTCAGAACCATCAAGTTCCATTACATTGATTTGTAGCCTGTTAGTGCAACAGCAGAGAATGTCATGAAAAACAATTCCATTGTACAGCGCCTGGGAGAGTTGTGGGGATTAGGTTAGGTAGAAAGGCAGTTCCAGACTTGCCTGCAAAGCATGACCACATGAATAGTCCTTCATGGTAAAGGCATGTCTTTCTTTGTACATGAGATGTTTTGTGGGTTAGACTTTATATTAGTCAGGGTTTTCTAGAGGAATAGAACTTATAGAATTTATATGATTTAATTAAGAAAAAAAATTCTTCATAGATGTTCCCAGCCATATGGGTTTTAGTTAATTCCGGATGTAGTCAAATTGATAACACACGCACACATAAATCCCAGATATATATGTATATGTAGAATGGTTTACAGGTTTGGTTCCAGCTGGTCCAGATACTACAACAAAAGCTGCCTACCAATGGAAAGTCTAAGAGTCTTGTAGTTGTTCAGTCCCATGAGGCTGGATGTCTTCAGCTGGTGTTTGGTATACACAAGAATCCTGAAGAAATAGGCTCTAATACCAGAGAAGGAGTGGACTTGCCAGCAAAATCAAGCTGGCAAAGAGCAAAAGCCTCCTTCTTTTAAGTCTTTTCTATAGGCTGTCAGCAGAAGATGTGGCCCAGATTAAAGATGGATCTTCCCACCTCAAAAATTTGGATAATAAGTGGGTCTTCCCTGCTCAGATGTAACCCATGGTAGCTCAGTATCCAAGTGGGTACCCTGGTAAGGGGAACAGGGACTATTTCTGACATGAACTCAATGCCTGGCTCTTTGACCTCCCCCCGACCCGAGGGAGGAGCAGTCCTGCTAGGCCACAGAGGAAGGCTTTGCAGCCAGGCCTGAAAATACCTGATAAGCTAGGGTCAGATGAAAGGGGAGGAGGACCTCCCCTATCAATGGACTTGGAAAGGGGTAAGGATGATGAGGGAGGGAGGGTGGGATTGGAAGGGAATGAAGGAGTGGGATATAGCTGGGATACGAAGTTAATAAACTGTAACTAATATTAAAAAAATAATTTAATTAAAAAATAAGTGGGTCTTCCCACTTCAAATGACTTAATCAATGTCCATTACAGGGGTGCCCAGCCATTTGGATTTTAGTTCATTCTAGATGTAATCAAGGTGACAACCAAGAATAGCCATAACAGAGTTTGCCAACAATTTTGTCAAAACTGGTTAATGGTACAAATTATCCTGTCAGGTATGTTGTATTATTATCCATTCCAGCTTTCTTAGGGTTCATTCTCTGATGTGCTCAGGTGGGACATAACCCACACCCAAGGCTCTTACCTGCAACCAACTTGTTTTTATTACCACACGGAGCCATGTATTAGATTTGAGCAAGTACCTCAGTTAACCTAAGTTAGTGTTAGAATATAAGGATGTGAAAGGGTAGATGTTTTGAAATAATTTGAAAATTCTTGACGGGAAGCCCTTGTCAAGATGGTACAGGATTGAGGCTTAAAAACAAACTGCAAATTTTAATAATAGTTGTATTTCTGAGTCCCTCTTAGGTACAGGTAATGTGTTTACAAGGTATTTTTATTGTTTTACTCTTTGACATGAGTGTACCCTCATATTTTAGTTGAGACAAAAGTGCAGAGTTTACGGAGCTGGTCACCCATGGAACTATGACTCAAATCCAGCCTCAGCCTGATTCCAAAAGTCCAGCTTCTGTTGTTTTGTTTTTGAGAAAGGACCTTGCCGTAAAGGTCAGCCTGGATTTGAATGCAGTCTGTAGCCTCTTCTGGCTTTGAAACAATTGAGCCTCCTGTCCCAGCCTCTGGAGAGCTGCGAGTATGGCACTTAACATCAAACATCCAGTTTGTTAGCCACTACCCTCCTGGCTTTAAGCACAGGCTCTATACTAATCTAGAAGTACAACCTGAAGTTGAGGCAGGGAGTTGTAGCTTTCAAACCTGCTGCCCACCAGCTGTTTGCCATAGGGACAGGGTATGACATGAGGTCTTGGCTCTGTCCCGCATTTCCTGCCCTGTTGGCTGCCTTACCCAAGTCTCTCTGGATGGAGACATTCTGACACCCTTAACAAGGGTTCCTCCTATATCTTGTTCAGTCTATGAGTAGAGCTTGCTTATAAGCATCACTGCCTTACACTCTGTTATATTGCTTCTTAGCCTTTGAAATTTTTATTACAATTTATTCGCTTTGTATTCCAGCTATAGTCCCCTCCTTTGTCTCCTCCCAATCTCACCCTCCCCCCCTTCTCTTCCAATGATCCTTCCTCAGTACACTGAAAGGGGAGGTCCTCCTCCCCTTCCATCTGACCCTAGACTATCAGGTCTTATCAGGACTATTTGCATTGTCTTCTTCCGTGGTCTGGCAAGGCTGCCCCCCCCCCCCGCAAGGAGAGGTGATCAAAGAGCCAGTCACTGACCTCATGTCAGAGACAGTCCCTGTTCCCATTACTAGGGATCCCTCTTAGAGATTGAGCTGCCATGGGCTACATCTGTGCAGGGGTTCTAGGTTATCTCCATGCATGGTCCTTTGTTGGAATATCAGTCTCAGAAAAGACCCTGGTGCCCAGATTTTTTGGTTCTGTTGCTCTCCTTGTGGAGCTCCAGTCCCCTCCAGGTCTTTCTATCTCCCCCTTCTTTGAGAAGATTCCCTGCACTCTGCCCAAAGTTTGGCTATGAGTCTCAGCATCTGCTTTGATACCCTGCAGGGTAGAGTCTTTCAGAGGCCCTATGTGAGAGACTCCTGTCTTGTTCCTTGTTTTCTCCCTCTTCTGATGTCTATCTCATTTGCCTTTCTGACTGAGGATTGAGCATCTTACCTAGGGTTCTCCTTGCTTAGCTTCTTTAGGTGTTCAGATTTTAGTATGGTTATCCTATATTATATGCCTAATATCCACTTATAAGTGAGTATATACCATCTGTGTCTTCCTGCTTCTGGGATACCTCACTCAGGATGATCTTTTCTAGTTCCTACCATTTGCCTGCAAATTTTCATGATTTCCTTGTTTTTAATTAATGACTGGTATTCCAATGTTTAAATGTTCGATAATTTTTGTATCCATTCCTCAATTGAGGGACATCTGGGTTGTTTCCAGATTTTGGCTATCTTTCATGCCAAACTATGTGATCAAAAATGGCTTTGTATTCATAAAAGTAGGCGTAGTGTTTTGAAAACCCAGGCTTTAGGGTTATACAGAATTAGGTTCAAACTCGGGCCCTGGTACTGAGCATGTTGACCAGTTACCTTACTTAACTGAACTTTTTTTATTCTCCTTGTCTGTTGAAAGGATCTGAGCTCACATGTTGAGCCACTTAAAGTGGAGGTAGCAGCAACCAGCTGAACAGCACTCTTAGTTTTGTGCCAAGTACTTTACAGAAGACATTGTCAGCCATCTCTTGAAGTACTTGGGGATCACAATATAAGAAGGACTACTTGATTTTTACTGGGGACATAATTTATTTTAAGTAATAACTTCAAATGCAAAAATACAAAACCAATAACCAAGATGTAAGAGTTCTCCCCAGGGTGATAGCAGAGGCCCCGTAATCTGGTGATACAAGGACTGGAGATGATTTTTCTGATAAAGTGATATTTAAGTTTAGATCTCAAGAGTAACTCGAGGGTCAGCTGAGTGAAGTGACATTCCTTTAGTCACGTGTATGCTGAGTGACAAAATATACACTGTGCTATATAATTCAGGAAGAAACAAAATAAAGCTACTCTTACAGCACTTAGAAATCAGTCATGAGGACAGAATCCAAGTTTCAGTGTTCACAAGCATAATGAATGCCTTGACCCAAATTGTACCCCCTGCAACCTTTCTTCCTTCTACCCAGAGTAAGACGACCCCCTTCTCTATGTCACCCCTAAGGGCCTTTGAAAAGAGATGCTGATGATATTTTCTTTTTTCTGAGTCTTTGTGTCATCAGGCTAAACAACCTCATTCTCTTACTATTTTCCCTACCCCTGAGACCACCCTGGCTTGATTAGTTTCTGTGGCTACATCAACTCCTCCTAAGAATCGGCAGGAAGACTGACCCAAAGGCACCCTGCTCTTAAGTCGACATTCCCTTCAGAGAAAGCAAACCATAAATTACACAAACATGAAATAATGAAAGGGTGGATAATTAGCGAACAAGGAATGGGACAGAGTGTAAAGGGCATGAGGGGCGGGGTGGAGAGTGGAAGAGACAGGCAGAAGAACTTGAAAAAGTCAGCAATCAGTAGGATCACAAATTGAAGCCTGGCTTTAGCTAGGGAGTACATTTGGGACCAGCCTGTTGTATGTAAGAGCCCCGTCTCAGAAGAAACAAACAAACAAACAGAACACCCAACTGAGTAGGTTGAGAACAGGAGTGCTGCAGAAGTCTGCTTCAGAGGCGATGCTCAATGCATATTGACAGGAAAAAAATGTCTTCCTGTCCTTGAGTCAGTTGGAAAGTTAGCATAGTATAATGGGAGAAGTAATAACTATTAGGAGGTCAGAGTCCTAGTCCTGCTTGCCACTGAGCACTTTTAGAAAGCTACTTGAACCTCTGAGACTGCTTCTTTATAAAATTATGACAGGTCAGAGACTCAGTGATCATTTCTTGAGTTATCTGCCAGACACTGTGGTAGGTGGTGGACTATGATTTCCGCTGCAAATAGCTGCCAGCCCTATTAGGGGATCAGATGAAGTGATGTTCACTAAAGTGAGGTTGGCTATTCTGTATGGTTTTGCTGATGAGGTGCTTTTTGAATATGATATGGAATACACTTCATAGACTGCA